CACTTTAACTTAAACACATGCTATAATTCACAACGATTCACGCACTTTACTTAAGGTCACTCCGCTCGCTTGACTCAGTTATCTGCTCTCCATCTCCACTTTATTTCCCGGGCTTATATACAACAAAAGAGGGCGCATAGAAAAGACTAGAGTTGCCAGGAAAAGTCAAGATCCTTCGAGAATCTCATGACATGGTACCAGTGTCACGTGACTTTCGCTGTCTTAACACTGCCCCTTCTTTAGTATTGTTTGTCCCAAACAATAGCCACTTAAATTAAACCAGTGATAATTAACAATAACTTAATTAAATGTACAGAATTTACAAACACAAAATTAAAATTCAACAAAGTCTCTTAATTTTACGGGACGTATCTTCTTCCGTACTGGTCTCCGTCTCATTGGCTTCTGCTTCATGTAAAGTTCATCTACTCCATCAGGAAATGTCCTATTATCGGTAATAGTCACATCAGTGGTAGTAACTTCATCAAGGGCTTCACTGTTTCCCTTCTCAAAACCGGTTGGAGTTTCTTCTTCGACAGTGGCTTTTTCAGGTGACACATCTTCAGCAGCGTCTTTTGTTCCATTGTTCATTTCGTCCCAACTGAAATGTCCTGGACCATGATAATGCCAAAGCCTGTTGGCATCCACCACCTTTGGCTTACCTCGCCGACCACATTTTATTGGGAAAGTCACGTCTGAGAGACGATCCACTATGTCATATGGGCCTTCCCATGGAGAAGACAACTTAGGAGACTTCCCTTTGGTCTTCCTGGGATTATACAACCACACCTTATCTCCTGGTACAAAGATGACTTCAGTAGATCTCTTATCATAAGATACTTCATCTACTTTGTCTCCGGGTACAAAGCAGACTTCAGTAGATCTCTTATCATAAGTTAACTTCATCGAATCAGCAGACGTTTTCAAGTTTGAACGCACTTGATGGTGAATATCATCCATCCTTTCCGATAACACTTTCACAAACTCTGACACATTTTCAGGCAACTCTTCATAAGGTGGGCGTCCCTTATGCTTGGATCCCCTTTTAGCACTACATGTACTGCATGTCCTGTACCATTCTTCCACATCTCGCCTTATACCTATCCAGTAAAATCTTTGTCGTAGGTGACTCAATGTCTTCTTAATTCTGAGATGTCCTCCTGTTAAATTATCATGGGATTGACGCAGCACAACTTCCCGCAACTTCCTCGGTATAACTGTTTGCCAAGTCGTCACTTTCCCATCTGTAGTTTCCCATCTCCTGGACAAGAATACCATCTTCAAGCTTCAACTGGTCCAATTGTGCCCAATAGTTCTTTGTCACAGGGCTTACACTAGACACCTTCTCCCAAGCAGGGCGCACAACACTTGCTTTTAGAAAATCAATTATTGGCTTCAAATCTTGGTCTTTCCCCTGTTCTGCTTTGATATCTCTATTTGGTTCCACTTCATCATCATCAGCTCTTTCAGTCGGCTTGACT